ACACTCCAGAAAACAAAGAATAATTGCTGTTTTAATTACAGGCCTCCCACCTTTGGTAGACAATCAATTATCAACTTCATCGATGCACTTGATTCAGCCACCGAACACTACCAGACCATGGCGTATTCTTATAAGCTGATTTCAACTTACCAGTATATTGAACGAAATGGTACTTACTTACTACCAGCTAATTATATCGCTGAACTTTTCATATGTGCAATAAATTTGAAAATCGTAGAATTTGTACTGTGCAATAATTTCAACATTGTTTTAAATAATCCTACAAGTCAGACTACCCAGAACATCGTTCTTACTTTAATTTGTAACTATTAATTGTATTGATTATATTTAAAATTATAGACAAGCCAAAGATTTTATTACCTTATAATTAAAACGATTCCACTTAATATGATTTTTGCTTACTTCAAATGTTGCTATCATTTTTTGTAACTTTTTATTAATCAACTCAATTTAGTAAAGCATAATCATCGTCTAAGAAAATCCGTCCATCATCTTAGTGGAACACGTGTGTATTGTCAGAGATAACTTTAAATCCTAAGCCAAGTACAAATGGAAATCAACGTCTATCACAGCCACTCTATTTGTATGGACAGAGTATTTTCAAGTTGGCATACAACAGCTACGTTATAAAACAATCTTCATTGATTTCCTGAGCTTCATGGAAACTACCACTACTGAGCATTTGGATTTGTTTATATGATTATTTTTTAATCTAAAAATGAAAATCAGTATTAGCCAAAACGATGGTGAACATTTCTTGACATCTGCCGGCATACCTAAGGCATGTTACAACGATCCTCTCAGTAATCATCTTAACTTCTGCTGTATTCATAATCAAACCCATTCCTACTCATTAGAAATATTGAAACATTCTATTGAAACTAATATATTTCATTTCATTGGTGTTGTTACACTGCTACAGTTAAACAATAAGGATAATAATTAAATATAAATAAATATAATATATTACAAAGGAATGAATTTTGCGATGCTTAGTTCCACATTTTTTTCCTTTTTTTGTAAGCACTACTAATTAGATTTGCCTTTTGATGTTTCCTTTCATTGCTCCTTTGTGTTTGTGCAAGTGTAACCTTGTGTTTCTACTTCTCAATTTCCGAAGAGTTTCAGAATAAATTTAAAAGTTCAATTTTAATTGATTGCTGGACATGAGTTTTGCTCTTCATTGTTAGAGTTGTGCTATGTAATTGTTTTTATTTCCTATAGAAATCTATCGTAAATAAAATATTTTCCATTTATCTTATCGCGCCCACCCAACCGTTTTCCTTAAGGGAAAACGGATAACATACACCCTTAACCATAGCAGCAGAGCACCGTATCAAGCGACGTGTCACAGCGAATGGAATCGGTCAAGTGACCCAACACACCAAAGGCGCCCTCAGACCAATGGAAAATACATTTCTCTGCATTGCAGTTTTTATCTGCATTGCAACTAGTGGAGAACTTTCGTTCTCCACTAGTTAACAGGGTGCCTCGGGCGAATTGTGGTGCTTGGTTGCTCTTACTAATCATCGATTAATGCAAGAACGATATCTTTCTAAATAATAAAATTATTAGTCGGATTATGAACTCAAATTGCGACTGTCAAAACATTTGAATTCCTCATTGACTTAGACTTATTTTCAGATGTCGAGAACCATTTACTGGTAATAGTTTTAGACTTCGAAATACACTGTAATCTGTTGCTCCTGCTCAGGCGGGTAACAGGGGTCTTGGGTCAGTGGGGGGAAAGGTCATAATTTTCCCGGTTAGTAATTTATCATACCCAACCCACCCCACCCCACCCCCACCCCATATAGAAAACAATACGACATAGTGCTTATCTTATTTATAATATAGGCCACACACGTGTGTTTGAAACTAAATATAAGCATTTTCATCATGGTTTTATTTATTAAAAACATATTCTTTCACCATCAATACACATCGAGGCCCCTTCTTTTAGGTAAAACGATCTATCTTAAATGTTCTTTTTATTTGAGTTTGGGACTATTATGTGTTTAAATAACTTAGAAGGCTGACCCTAAAACATTTTTTGTGTTTTTAATTCTAATTTCGTCTGAATTGATCAAAACCTTCTAAAATGTGCAATTTTTATGGAAATGGGCCTACTCCAACAAAAAATAAGATTTTTAGGCACTTTCAGGGGGTAAAAGGGCATTTTCAAGGGGTGGGGAAAGATTTTCCACAGATGGATATTTTCCCATTGTCCGCCGGTGGTTACGCCACTGCGGAGAATATCAGGCGGCTTAGATCAAAGGAGCTATGGACACTTTTTGAAGTGGAGAAGGGGTTGAAGGTGTTGTGAGTCTGGTCATTATGATATCTTGCTTTTTATTCTTGTCTTTATTTTTCTCTTCTCTTTTTCTTCTCCTTTTTCCTTTCCTTTTCTTTTCCCTTCTTTCTCTTTCCCTCCCTCTCCACTCTTTCTTTTCTCTTATTACCCAGCCCGGTACGACGGCTTGGTCAGCCCGGTAAAAACCGCCTATTATGCCACTGCTCCTACTTATCTAAAATTTATCACTTATCTTATTTTACTTGCTGAGTTATCATGTTCACTTCCCCAATGAGACGATCACAAACTTCTGACTTTAGAATATCCTCACGCACCCCACCACTAACAACAGGTTTTGAAGTTGAAGAGGCAACTCTAATGAAACATTAATAATTCAATCATTAACAGAATAATGAAAATTGACAAGGAGGCCCTGCAATACTGTACAGTTTACTGAAAAGAAGACTGTGAAGCTTTAAGCATTATGAAAATACAAGTAGGCAACATCAAGAACTTTACATAATTTCTAGATAAATTTAGAAAGTCAATAATAAGCAAGATTGGTTAAATACGATTTTCACAAATACTTTAGAAGCAAACAGCCAGGTGACAATGGACTTAATATCAACGAATAGATATATATTATTTTTAGACAATTATGTATATTTTAATGTTTAGGCATATAATAATTTTCTATTTCTATTTTTTAAAACTTGATATTAAATGTTTTGGAAGTTGGAGTTTTCAATTCAGTTTCTTTTTTTTTCCAAACCGTTCTAGTAGCTTCGAAACAACAGCTTAGAGTTTTAAACCGTTAAACATTCGTTTTTTAACTCCAAAGTCTTCCTTCCTAAAATACGTGCAAAAGTATCGCATAAGGGACGAACATTTTACTCGATTTGTAATACGGAGGTAACGAGAAGAGATTAAGGAAAGCATTATTGTAGCCGACTCAAAGCTGGCCCGGAAGAAACCTACTTACTAAAAAATGAAATAATCAAGACCCACTTAACACTTTCAGAACATTTCTTAAATTTACATTTATGAACGTTATCTCTGAGCTAGCAGCGATACTGATGCATGATATCATTTAATCATTTAGATCTTTAGCATTACCAGCGTACATACTGTACTTTTTTAGTAATTAGTTCATCAAGTAGCTTTCGAACTCAGGGACTGCTAGAGACCTTCTTTATGGCCTTCTTTAAAATTCTTATTACTGTGTACGGTTTTCGAAATATTTGAAAGACAAAGAAAGTTGATGTAACAATTACATTTGCTCTGTCATCTTGGACTAATAATTGCTGTCAATAATGCAAGTCTTGAAAGATTTTTTCGCAGTTTAAAATTATCAAGAAAACTGTTATACGATATGTACAAAAGATTTCTTAGTATCTCTTACGTGCTCTGTTAATAAAGCTTCACTTCTGAGAAGTTGTGTATCCGGTACGATTTATGATGGAAGTTACGAGATCGTGGTAACAGATTTACCACACATTCTTACTAATACTTTTTTCAAATTTCTAATTTTTAATTTTAAGACTAAATTTAGGCCTATAAAGTACTATAAACTAGTACAGGAGCGAATAAAGCATAACATAGGTATGCTGTAGGCTACTCCTTGATGGCTTGGTAAACACTGCAAAACACATGGTAGCCTAAGGCTCCTCAAATGTGTTTTTATAAACAAACGAGCAGTTGCCGGTCGTAAAGATAGGAATTTATAATTTGCTTCAAGCCATAAATTTAAACAAGAACAGGAGACGTGTTTATATGAATATTTCGTTGAAATGAATTTGCTGGTATTGTATTGTTTACAAAACGTAGGCCTACTGTATGTCTTGGTATAAAATTCAGGTTATCTGTGCCTTACCTATACCATAAAAGTGACGCCAATGGGTGGGGCAGCTGGGCCCGGACCCATCGGAACACCTGGCCCAGCCACCAGGGAGTCACGGTAAAATTTGTGGGGAAAAATAATAATACTCGTTTTAACCCAGAGACATCTGGCATGAGAGTGCCATTTTTTGGGCATTTGGTGAAATACAATCTAATTTTTCACCTCAGCCAAACCATGTTGGGGCTGAGGTGGGTGAGGCCTATATGTCGGGAAACAATGGACCACTTATCCTACAATACAAGACTTAGGCCTACAAAACATAATTCCTTCGAAAAATTCTGTTTTTAGTAATAGGCCCACGATATCGATTGAAGTTTAAATTTATCTGTATTATGATATAGACTATATAATGCCTGGTCAAGACTTAACATAAGGAGGAAATATCAATATTCCACCACACTAGTGTATTTCTTGGTCATTCAAGCTATAAAAAAAATGAAATCATGGTATACATACACTATAACACAAGATTCTTTTTACATTTTGGGCCCTTTTTCATTTAGTATGCTTGTGGTTTGTGATTTGTTTTATACTAACCCAGGTTGTACATTATAGCATATCGTTGACCACGTTCTATCATGTATGAGTATATTTGTTATATAATAATATAAATAAATTTTACTACAGTAGGATAGGTTCACTATTCATACGTTCCGTTAAAACGACAGAATTCAATAGTGGGCACACTTTGCTTACGGCTGACTGCACAAAACATAGCGCCCTCTGTTATTTTTTCCATATCTATCTCGGGGAAATCGCCAACTGCCCACTATTTCCAGTGAAACAAATATCCTCAATTACACCATGGCTGAGGACGGACACACCAGTGAAGAGCAGGTATCTCTCATTAAACCTGAAAGTGGCTGTAAATTGTATAAAAGAAGATGGCTAATGTTATTCATATTCGCTATATTTTCGATGTCAAACTATTACTTGTGGGGGCAATATGCGGCGATTTTTACTGCAGTGAGAATTTACTATAACACTACGAGAGATATTGTTGATCTGCTGAGTTCTACAAGTTTGGTTACATATGTCGTCGCCATAGTACCAGTGATGTGGCTAACCGAGAAGACGGATTTGAAAATTGTCCTTATAGTTGGTACTGTTTTTCAATGTGTTGGGGCATGGATTCGATATATCGGGACACTAAATTATAACATACCGCTAAATTTTATTGGTCAGACTTTATGTGCAATGAGTCAACCATGTTGTTTTGGAATGTCATCACAAATGGCAGGGACCTGGTTTGGAATTGACGAAGTAGCGCTGTCGAATGGAATTGGATTTGCCGCTGTTGAGGTACATTATATCTTTCTCAGAATATTCCCAACAAATGTCATGTCTATTTTCAAATATTGTTGTATACTTTATATAGTCCTATTGTCAATTCAGTCGTTGTTTTCTTTGTTTACTTTAGTATATGGATTGAACAATTAAACGAAATAAAAGTTGAATTGAAATTTGATTGAATTTGGTCAGACTGAATAAATATTCAATAGTTTGGAAAATTACAGAGTAAAAAGTAAAGGCATAGAAATGTGAAATTTTGTAAAGCATCAGTAGTATTGTACATCTATAATGGTACAAGGCACTCTGTCCTACCTTGAATCAAACATAAGCTATCACACATGAACCCAGCTCGGCGAATCTTAATGACTTGTGCTCCTATAGTCTTGCTAAATCATTATGAATTACTGATTTATCAACTACTATACGTCTTTAAATGCACTTTGCACAAAGAGACACCATAGTTTTGGGCGAATATTAAGGGGATAGCTTCTAAAATGGCAAAAATGTTAAGTAGATAGTTCGTCGTTATTGCTTTATGAAAGGGGTTTAGGTAATCAACCATAATACGAATCATGAAGAGCGTAAATTGCTTTTCGTCCCAAACACTAAGAAGAATAAATATAATTATGCTCACACTCAGAGCAAAAGTGAGTAACCATAGGTTTTGACGCCAAGATATGCGTAACCAATATTTATATGGCATGAGTTTCAACTTAATTATAAATCATACGATGCTAACAGTCATAATAAGCCTCAAATTCTTTTTTTAGCTTTAGCCACTGCACGAGAGCAACGTTGGATTTCGCCGGTTTTAAAATAATATTGAATTTTAAAATATTGCAGAACATTATAATGCAGACGGTGGCAACGTTGTCTGAGTCAGATTGTACAGATTAACAAATGATTGTTACTTACTTTTAATAAGTTTATTTTGCCTATAACGGCCGATATTGCTGGCCACTATTAATGTGAAAAACTGTTGGCCGTGTATGTTATTACTTCTCACAGAAATGAATTGTCAGTAAACAAGGGTTGCAATAATATTTTTGTCGGTGTTGCGAGCAGCAATTATAAAAAATAAAAAAAATAAAGAATCAACAAGAGTAGAACCGTAAAACCAATTGGAAAAATTGGAAACAATCCTCCCTTAAAGGGGAAAAAACACACTTTAGTAGGTTTTTTAGTAGCCCTTTCACCTTCCCCAACGAAAAAAGAAAACCCATGGTTTATCTCTGACCCACTGAAATCAATCTCATTGACAATGATCTGGTGATGAACACAGTAACACAACGTTCAGTGTCTTATCTCAGAGGGTGGACCACTGTCTCGAAAAGCTATCAAGAATGATTATGAGTTAAGAAGGTTCACATAGAAATACATGGGGCTACTAAATTGAAGCTCATTCCTGTCTCTTATACACATCTAGATGTGTATAAGAGACAGCTTCTAAAATGGCAAAAATGTTAAGTAGATAGTTCGTCGTTATTGCTTTATGAAAGGGATTTAGGTAATCAACCATAATACGAATCATGAAGAGCGTAAATTGCTTTTCGTCCCAAACACTAAGAAGAATAAATATAATTATGCTCACACTCAGAGCAAAAGTGAGTAACCATAGGTTTTGACGCCAAGATATGCGTAACCAATATTTATATGGCATGAGTTTCAACTTAATTATAAATCATACGATGCTAACAGTCATAATAAGCCTCAAATTCTTTTTTTAGCTTTAGCCACTGCACGAGAGCAACGTTGGATTTCGCCGGTTTTAAAATAATATTGAATTTTAAAATATTGCAGAACATTATAATGCAGACGGTGGCAATGTTGTCTGAGTCAGATTGTACAGATTAACAAATGATTGTTACTTACTTTTAATAAGTAATGTGTATATTTTACCTCATCTCTGTACCACTTCACTGCGCCTGATGAACCGGTATAATAGATGACGGGCGAACGCTTTTTATTAAATAATTGAATTTTGTCAATACCCCCGACTTATTCTGTTGACGGGTTATGAAGTGGTTAGCGATAAGCTTCAGTCCAATTTGTGAATATTTCATGGCTTATAAACATAAACAAAAAAAATAATTAAAAATATGTATTATATTGTGACCGATTTTCATCATTTATTGTGGTAACATCAGGTTACCTAAACAAGATATACACAAAAGTGCTACCAGTGCTTTTCATTTTTACGTCAACCTGACTACCACGGCTCTCTCTACTATTGTATTTATCATTGAATATTTAATAATATTTCTCTTCTCTTAAAGATCGGAGTTGGCCTGGCGCTCATAATTTGTCCACAAGTGATATACAGCGGACCCGACCTTGCACATCAGATGGACATTTTGTTCTTATGGACAGCAATTATTATGACATTAATAGTTCCATTAACCATATTCGGTTTGTTATATTTTCAGTTATTGCTACTGTTTACATCGCTATGAAAATTATAATTTTATATATATTTTTATATTCAGTCCCAAATATTAATAACTGTAATATATAGGGTCATAACTGTAAAATATAGGGTTAACCCTTTGTAAGATATTATTTGAACTCTCGCAGTACATTATGTTGGACAACTTGTCTCATCTAAGGCTGGTAACTGCGAATATTTAAAATAAAATGAGGCGTTTTTAATAACAGTATGAAAATTATTGACAAGAGAATGTTGAAGTTGTTTACAGACAGGCATAGACTATCCTTTTCTTAAAGTTAATTAATGATTACAACATATTAATATATACGTATAGGCTACAAATTTTAGTGTTTATATACCGTATATAAAAAGATAATATTTTCATAAATGCCAGTTACGTTTTATAAAAGTTTTAAATTTTTTTTTTTAAATCTTAGTTTTCGAAGCGGAGCCACCACTACCTCCTAGCAGACCAAGAATGAATCTTGAAAAAGCAGGAAAACAGGAGAGCGCTTGGAAATCGCTGTGGTTCGTGTGCTCTAACTGGAATTTTATGTTACTATTATTTGCAAACAGTAAGTCCGTGTAGAAATGCTTCATATGTTATATAATGCTGTATAATAGACTCTTGTCCAGACAGCAATTAGATTTTATTTGACATGCTTAAATGTGGTCATTATATGACATCACACCTTGACCATAGGCACATCATATTTTATATGGGCATACAACAGTCTTTTGTCAAAGCAGGTTTGATAGTTTGGACAAAGCTTTAAACAACTTTCCATTCCTTGAACCCTGATCAAACACATGTAAAACCACATGAGTATCACCATCATAACCTCAATTAAAAGTATTATTACATTTTGGGTTATTCATAATTCTGTTTCGCAGGCCCGTCGAACTGACAGAGTTCAATCTAAATTCTTAAATTTTATAATTTTAATAATAACAATATTGTTTTATAAACTCTTCCCTCACATAGTAAGAGGAGACATTTATTTGACATGTTTTCTCTTCTTTTTTTTTCTTTTTTTCTCTTTTTTCAATAGACCCGGCTCCCGTCATAATGACAAATATTTCAGGTACCCTTTAACTGGGTCAATTGCACTAAAAATGTTTTATTCACTGACTTGCCTTTTTTTCCATAAGCTTTCAAATAATAATGTTTAATTTTATATTTTTCACCAGAGCCTAAGTTTAATCAAAAGCAGCTTATCACAATCTTTATAATAATACCTAAGTGGGTTATTTTTTTAGAAAATATACCGTAATAAAATAAATATTGGCCATTATTTCTATTGGCGACTACTTTAGGTATTTATGTAGGTCATCACTTAAGTAGAGTGTATAGATGGAATCAAACTATAACCTGATTTCCTACGTAAACATGAAACAGAATATTTACACAATGAACATAACCATCAATGTTGTTATATTCAACTCTTATTTATTCCTCCATGATTCAACCTAAGACAGACTTTTGTCATAAGAATTTTAGCACATGATAACAAAAAAATACAAAGTCGACATAGCATGACACAAGGACATTAAAATTCCAATTGCTGTTGACAAAAACGATAGCCTGTTTGTACTTTTAAGGCAAAACAAAAATATTATTACATTTTAAGCGTTCTTAGATTAACAGCAGCCAAACAGATCCTTTTATAAGCATATAATAGGCCTATCTAAAACAGTTACAGTAACTTTACTGCATAGTAACATTACATTTCGAGGCAATTTTAATTTAAAACTTGGTAAACATTATGACAAAATGAAAAAGAAATATGTCTTGTCAGGAATGTTATGATATGTGTACACTTTTATAGAAAACCCCAAAATTTATGATCGCAAAATGACAACAATAAAATTTGAAATAATTTTCTATATATTTTTTGTTTAAATTTAGCTTTCAACCTTGCTTTTTTATCACTGATTATTTTCAAGTTAGATGAAACACTTTCGCTTACACTTACGGTGAGTAACGATTTACCTTTTGTTAAATTTTGTTAACCTTGTGAATCTATTTTATCATCCCAATTAAAGAAAAAAAATGTGAGGGCCAACTTAGATATTCTCACAGAACATAGGTCCACTGCAAAATATTTTGTATATTAATCGAGACAACTATATAATTATATAT